CCCCCCCCCCCCGACCAATGCCACTTTTTCTTGAGATCGGGGCCGGCAGGGGGTGGGGGGATGTACATGGGATTAAATGTGCATATACTAACTCCACAAAAGAGGTTGCTGGGGTGTGCATTCCCTCTACCTCTCATCACAAAGAATCTGTGGTAGACAGAATAACGGCCCTCAAAGATGCCTACATCCTAATCCCTGGAACCTGGGAACATGTTACCTTGCTCGGCAAAGGAGCTTCTCAGATGTGATTGGGAATAAGGACGAGAGATGGGGAGGTTACCCTGGACCGTGCAAAGGGACCCATGAATCACACGAGTCTTTGATGCGGAAAACCCTTCCTGGTTGTAGAGCACCGGAAAGGGGACAGCGTGAAAAGGCTCCGGCCCTCCCACGCGGGTTCTGCAGATGAAGCACGGGGGATGGCAAGCCAAGGCACGTGGGCAGCCTCTAGAAGCGCGAAAGAAATGGATTCTCCCTGTCTCACTCTGTTCGGACTGCTATCCCAATACATCACAGACTCGGTGGTTTATAAACCACAGAAACTGATTTCTCACAGCCCTGGCAGCTGGCAGCCCAAGATCAGGGTGCCATCAAGGGGGGCTCGGGCGGGACCGCTTTCCCGGCTGCTGACGGCCAGTTCTAGCCATGTCCTCGCACCGTGGAAGGGGCAAGGGAGCGCGGTGGGGCCTCTTTTATAAAGGGCAACAATCCCGTTCACGAGGGCTCCACAGTCACAAGCTGATCACCTCCCCAAGCGCCACCTCCCAATAGCATCACACCGGGGATCAGGATGTCGACACGTGAGTTTCGGGGGGACGAAATCGCTCAGGCCGTAGCGCTCCCCAGGGCATCCAGGGAAGGATGCTGTTCTGCCGATACTTTGATTTTGGCCCGGCAGGAGCCACGCTGGCCCTCGGACCCACAGAACTCCAAGCCGATACATCTGTACAGCTTCAAGCAGCTTCAGGCTGCCAGGTCTGTTACCACAGCAACAGAGAACAAATCCACCCTCCCCCGGGGGGGGGCTTCCTTGAATCCCAGAGCTCCGAAAACGCGGTCCAATGACCATCAAACCGGGCTCTCTCTACGACCTGTGCCACGCGGCCCAGCAACGGGCCCGCCTCCGTCCAGTCTCGTTTCGGTGAGTGCGTGTGGCCCGTGTCATCGGAACTCCTCCCCCTCGCCCTCAGCCACCTATAAAGTGACTCAGGGAAAGGAGCCCAGACGGTCACCCAAGCCGACGGACCTCACGATCGCAAAGGTCTCTCCGGCCGCCGTCACTCGCGACCCAGAATCTATTTTTCTCTTCAGGTCACGTCCTAAAAGCGGAGTCCGAAGGCCTGAAAACACTTGATATTTACCGAAGTTTAGCCTCATGAGTGGCGAGAGGAGCGCGGCCCAGCTCACGGGGGGGAACTGGTAGCTCTCTCCAACAGCTGCGATGGGTTTCATCACGACTTTGAGAAGGGAAGGAGGCACAGACTCAGGACCTGCAACAGAAAGGGAAGCACTAGTAAAACGCTCCGGCAGCATCATGAGAGGCGGAAATGCCAGCTCTCCTTTTCTTCCAGTGCCAAAGGATTTGGGATCACATGTTCAACTATGGTCGGTCCTTCAGTTCTGTGCTCTCAGTCTCAACCCCCTCCGTTACAAAACCCTGCTTCCTCTGCTCTTCTCCTCCTCACTTGCCTCTGGTTTTTCCCTCTTGTCTGGACAGAAATGGTCCACGTCACTACTTGACTGTCCTCCATACGCTCTTTGTCTCTTCATCCAGCTTTCTAAAAAGAGTCACTCATCCACGTTACTGCGCCATTACTCACTCCCCAATCTACTTCCAGAAGAGGAGGTCATTGCCGCCTCGTCAGGCATAGTCCCTTCTAGTGACCGTGAAGTCCTTCCATCCCTGTGGCCCACAGTGGTCGTGCTGTGTACTATGTGACTTGCCGCTTTCACTCTCCAGCCTGTGCCACGGCTGACAGCTCCAGAGGGAAGTGCCTTCCGTAACAGCTAATCCATAGGCTGACCAGCTATCTGTGGCATGGGGCTATGGCTTTAACATACTCTTTTTTTGTTCCCCCAGGTGCGGGTTAATTTGCAACTGAAATGATGAGACACTAGAGCAGGTATGAGTGGAGCCACAAGGCACAGTCAGGGTTTGAGGAGCCATGAAGGGCCATGTAAGAGTGAAGTCTGAAGGAAGCCGGAAATGATGTGTATAAAGGTAAAAGAGCAAGGAGAAAAGCAAAAGCAGCCGGATCAACATATGTAGCAGAAGGGAAATCAGCATCAGCAGCAAGAGAAGCAGACTGAGTAAAAGGAAAAGCATCAGTAGGAGAAGGATAATCAGGGGTAGAATCAGGAGATAAGCAGCAGAATCAGCAGACAGTGAAAGAGGGGAAGCAAAGGTGGGGCAGAGTCAGCAAAAGGCACAACAGCTGGAGAAAGGAGAAGCAAGGGAAAAGGGAGAAGCTGAGGCAGACAAGGCAGCAGAATCAGCAGGCACTGAACACGGGGGAAGCAGACGTGGGTGCAGAATCGGCAAAAGGACAAACACCATAAAAAGGAGAAGCACAGGAGCAGTAGTAGCTGAGGCAGAAAAGACAGCAGAATCAGGAGAGACTGGACAGAGGGAAACAGAAGCTGGGCAAAGTCTGTAAAAGGACAAACAGCTGCAGAAAGGAGAAGCACAGAGAAAGAGGAGAAGCAGAACCAGCAGATGCTGCATATGGGGAAGGAGAAGCAGAGGGAGAGTTTTTCTAGAGAGGATACAAAAATGACCAATAAAAATATGAAAAGATGCTCAACATCACTTAGCATTAGAGAGATGCAAATCAAACCGCGTAAGATATCACTTCACTCACATCCATTAGGATGGCTATTTTTTTTTTTTTTAAAGAAAAAGGAAAGAAAGGGGAGGTGGGTGGGGGAATGGGTATTAAGGAGGGCACTTGTTGTGATGAGCACTGGGTGATGTATGAAAGTGATGAATCAATGAATCCTACTCCTGAAACCCATACTACACTATATATTAACTAACTTGAATTTAAATAACATCTTGGAAGTTATTTAACACTCCACAATTGTCGGTGAAGATGTGGAGAGATTGGAACCGCTGTGTACTGTTGGTGAGATTATAAAATGGTAGAACGGCTATGGAAAACAGTATGATGGCTCCTCGAAAAATCAAAAATAGAATTCTGGGTCTATACTCCAAAGAACTGAAAGCAGGATCTTGAAGAGATGTTTTTACACCAGTGTTCACAGTAGTACTATTCACAACAGCCAAGAAGTAGAAGCAACCCAAATATCAATCAATGGGTAAATGGATAAGCAAAATGTGCTTATGTGTACATAAGCAAAATACATAATGTGTACATATGTGTGTATATACATATATATGTATATACACATACAGTAAAACCTTAGTTTGCAAGCATAGTCCATTCAGGAAACATGCTTATAATCCAAAGCACGTGTATATCAAAGTGAATTTCAAGAATCACTGTCTCAGTTGTGATCATGTGATTTTCAGCGTCACGTACTACTCATATGGCAAGCATTGCTTGTTTATCAAGTGGAAATTTCTAAGAAATGTTTGCTCATCTTGTGGAACACTCACAATCTGTATACCATATATATACAAATTAATTTCAACATTAAAAAGTAAGGAAATCCTGTCAGACATTATAGCATAAATGAATCTTGAAGACACTATGCTAAGTGAAATAGCTCAGTCACAACAAAACAAATACCGTATGATTCCATTTATATCAGGTACCTAAGTAGTCAATGTTAATAGAAACAGAAAATAGGGTGGCTCAGTCAGTTAAGTGTCTGACTCTTGGTTTAGGCTCAGGTCATGACCTCGTGGTTCGTGAGTTCGAGCCCCGCATCGGGCTCCACCCTGACAGTGCAAAACCTGCTTGGGATTCCCTCTCTCTCTCTCTCTCTCTCTCTCTCTCAAAATAAATCAATAAACTTAAAAAAAAAAACAACCCAAAACCAGGAAATAGAATGGTGTCTACCAGAGATTATGGGGAGGGAGAAAGGGTATTATTTAATGGGTATAGAATTTCAGTTCTGCATGATGAAAAAGATTGGTTTCACAATAATGTGAATAAACATAACACTATTGAACATATGCTTTAAAAAAAATTATACATTAAAAAAAATTAATAACCTTCCAAAATGGATCGTATCAAGCCCAGGTGGGTTCACCGAATTATACCAACTATTTAAGGAAGAAATTACACTAATTCTTCCGTATACTAATTATACTAATTTCTCTTTCAAAAAACAGAAGCACAGGGAATACTCCTAACTTATTCTGAGGATAGCATTGCCCTAGTACTAAACTAGACCAAGATAAAACAAGAAACCTCCAGACCGATATCTCTCATGAACACAGATGCAGAAATCCTTAACAAGATATTAGCAAAATAAATCTAACAATGTATAAAGAGAATTATAAACTATGACCAAGTGAGGTTTATTCCAGATATTCAAGGCTGGCTCACCATTCAAAAATCGACTGATATAACCCATCACATCAGTAATCGCTAACAAAGAAAATCACACAAACAATATCAATAGACGCAGAAAAAGCATCTGACAAAATCCAACACCCATTCATGATAAAAAACTCTCAGCAAACTAGGAATAGAGTAGAGCTTCCCCAAAAAACTCTAGGCTGACATCATACTTCATAGTTAAAAATAGAAGCTTTTTTCACTAAGATCAGAAACAAGTCAAGATGTCTCCTCTCATCACTCCTTTCCAATATTATATTAAAAGTGCTAGCTTATGCAAGAAGATAAGGAAAGGAAATAAAAGTTATACAGACTGGAAAGGAAGATGGAAATACCTAAAATCAGAAATAAAAGTGAAGACATTTCTACCTACCTTGTAGAAACAAAAAGAATTATAAACAGGAAACTATGAGAAACTGTGTGCCAGCAAATTAGATAATCTAGATGAAACAGACAAAATCCTAGAAACACACAAGTTACTAAAACTGATTCGAGAAAAAACAGAAAATGCAAACAGTCCTATGACCAGGAAAGAGATAGAAATAAAAAGCTCCTGGGTGCCTGAGTGGCTCAGTCGGTTAGGCATCTGACTTCAGCTCAGGTCATGATCTCGTGGTTTGTGAGTTCGAGCCCCGCATCGGGCTCTGTGCTGACAGCTCAGAGCCTGGAGCCTGCTTCCGATTCTGTGTCTCCCTCTCTCTCAACCCCTCCCCTGCTCTCTCTCTCTCTCTCAAAAATGAATAAACGTTAAAAAAAGAAAAGAAAAAGAAACAAAAAGCCCCAACAAAGAAAAGTCTAGGACCAGATGATTTCACTGGTGAATTCTACCAAACACTTAAAGAATTACCATCAATCGTCAATTCCTTCCCAAGAAAAGCAAGAGAGGAGGGAATACAGTTAATTCTTGAATAACACAGGGGTTAGAGGTGCTAACGCTTTTGCAGCCAAAAATCCACATATAATTTCTGGCCTCCTCTCCAAATTTAACTACTAATAGCTTACTGTTGATGGAAAGTCTTACCAATAACATGAACAGTTGATTAATACATATTTTGTATATTAAGCTAGAGAAAAGAAAATGTTAAGAAAATTACGGAAAAGAGAAAATACACTTACAGTACTGTACTGTATTTAATGAAAAAAATCTGCATATAAGTAGACATGTGCAGTTCAAACCCGTGTTGTTCAAAGGTCAACTGCACTTTTTTTAAAGTTTATTTATTTATTTTGAGAGAGAGAGAGAG